AAATGAAGACATTGACAATGAATTTTTCATTATTTGCAGAATGGTGATCTAAGTAAACATGCCGCAAAAAAAGAGAAAGCCAGCGACTACAATGCCAACTACTCCAAGAAAGCAGAGTAAAGTCAGTGAAGCATCAGCCATTGTCAAAGGTACACCCAAAAAACCTAAAAATACACCCAAAAATACAGCCAAGAAAGTTACATCACCTGTGAAAAAAAAGGTCTCGCCGAAAAAAGTTTCCCCTGAGAGAACAAAGTTTTCTCCTAAGAAAAATACATCACCTGAAAAATTAAAGTCATCACCAAAACAAAAAACACCAGAGAAAAATCAACATGAAAATAAGACTTCTGGAAAAAAGCCAGCAACATCGCCCACGACTGGGAAAAAAATAACACAGAAAAGACCCTCTTCTCAAACCTTGAAAAGCCATCCAAAGAAGAAAACAAAAACCAATATGGACATAGGGGAACCTGCAAGGAGGGGTCGAGGTAGGCCACGAAAAAAAATCAAGGATACCCAAGATACACTGATTGATGCAAAACAAGTGAAAACTGAAAGGCCTCAGGAAGTCAGTTCTTCAACCATTCCACCTTCCTCAGTCCCCACATCCCCTAAGCCTTACAACACTCGTGGAGTTTGGAGAGGTCTAGATAACAAACAAACATTTTGTGAGCAGTCACCCATAAAAGCAGTGGAACAATTGATATCAAATGATCTTCACAAAAATGTCACTCTCACTGATCAGAACAGACAACCCAGTGATAATAATGCTGCCATTAAAGTAGAAGCTGATGACAACCAGATTAAATCTACCAGTCTCAAACTTGATAAAGTGTTGCATAGGAACACTGGTAGGAAATTTGTTGGAGCTCATACATCCATTGCAGGTATGTAGCGGTCTCTTATATGTGATAAATTGAAGCAAATTTCTCATGAATGAGTCATGAGTAAGTACCAGGATGTATGACCTATCAGGATCATGTATAGGTGCCAGGATGTATGACCTATCAGGGTCATGTATAGATACCAGGATGTGTGACCTATCAGGGTCATGTATAGGTACCAGGATGTGTGACCTATCAGGGTCATGTATAGG